TGATTTTGAGAAGGCATTTGACAGAGTGCAGCATAATCGACTTAAAGAAATTTTATTAAATAAAAACATAGACAGTAGAGACATTAGAATCATCTGTAACTGTCACATCATCATACTGTTTCGTAAATACCAAGTTCATGGTATTTGCAAAAGCACAAAACATCAAAGTTAAGCTAGTACTAGATAATACAGAAATTGAACAAATATCTTCGTACAAATACCTTGGAGCATGGATCACAGAAGATACTGATCAGACAAAAGAAATAAGATGTTGCATTGAAATTGCGCAGTCAACTTTTAATAGAATGAGAAAACTTTTTTGTAATCGCGATATCAATATATCGCTCCGGATAAGAATGCTTCGATGTTATATTTTCTCTACCCTTTTGTATGAAGGTGAAGCTTGAACGCTTTAAAAATCCAACATTAAAAACCTAGAAGCATTCGAAATGTGGTGTTACCGACGTATTTTAAAAATATCATGGATAGATCGCAAAACGAACGAACAAGTTCTCGAACAACTAGGAAAACAATGCAAAGTTTTAAATTTCATAAAAATCAGGAAATTGAAATATTTGGGGTACATCATGCGAGGTGAAAAGTACGAAGTACTAACGAATATAATGCAGGGTAAAATCAAAGGTAGAAGAAGCGTAGGAAGAGGTAAAATCTCGTGGCTACACAATCTCCGTGAATGGTTTGGATGCAGTTCAATTAAACTATTCAGGCGAGTAACCAATAAAACTATAATTGCCAGAATGATTTCCAATCTCCGATAGGAGTGGAACTTGAAGAAGAAGAAGGAGTAGTTAAGGGGTGAACAATTACGAATGTGGTAATAAATTCGTAAAAACTTAGCAGAGCACTATGGAATATCCTAAATATATATTTTTTAATTCTGCTAGTTTTAACCGTAAGCCAGCAGAGACGCTTTCGTTAAGGCTGGTTTAAAAAACGTATTTACACTAGAATAAAGTCGTGGGTCAGAGAGCAAATTTTCTTCACTACCAAAAATGTTTACAATAATAATTGTTCAAAATGACTGACATTTATTCTCTATTTTTTGTCGTAAATCATCCAAAAATTTTGGTTAAGTAGCATAAATTTTTGTTTTTAAATACCCTCATAAACGCCCATAAGAAGAAGTCTAGGGGTGTTAAATCCGGTGACCAACCCATCATGTATACTCTTCCATTTAACTAGCCGGAAAAGTTTCGTTTAAAAATTGTCGCACAGGTAAAGCAAAGTGTGGAAATATAACCAAATCTTCGGCAGGGTTATTATCATTTGTAACTATTTTTGTAATGCGATCAACCACTTCTCTAAGTATCTCACGATACGATGCATAATGTGGTCGCCTAAGATACCACACCATAAGTTAAATCTTTGAGAATTCTGTGTGTAAAATTATTGACAATTATGTCTGTTCACAAAGGCATTTAATGAAAATATTCTTTCATCGGAAAAGCAAATATTGCTTAACAATTATGGATTATTAATGATGCATTGTATCATTAATTCCCAAAATTCCAGAGGACGATCAAAATATTCATCATTTAACTGTTATGCCAATTTAATTTTTGAATGACTGGAATCTAAATTTATGAAATATTCGGAAGGCATTAGAAGCTGAAACACCGATTGCTTTGCTTTTTGTTGACAGTGACTGTGATTTACCCGTAAACGGCTACCGTTATTTACTTGCTGCGTTGGTTACGATTTCTTGTCTGCCATGTTTTTTACTGCAAACTGGCCATGTTGCTCTAAATTTCTGCTCCAGGTCAATCACATACTTTATAAGTTGCATGTTTAATGTGGTATGTTTCATTAATAATTTTGACAGTAGCTTTGGCACAATTAATATTTTTGTAGTACAAACCTACAGTTTCAATTATTTCTTGCAAAGTTTTTTTATTGAATTTAATGCGGCGACCACTAATGGTCATTGGCATGGTACAGTGAATTTTTACAGTCAGGTACCTAGTGTAAAGTGTAGTGTGTATGTAGAGTAATTGTCTTGATACTTAGCAAAGTTGACGTCATTGTCTTTGCTAAGAGACTCTAATTGTATCCGAACGTCTGCGGTCCCTCCGGTGAGCACCGATCGCACAAGGATAGAAATTATTTTCATCTATTCATTTTTAATAAACGAAAATTTCTCCACCCAGGTGAGATTCGAACCCACGACCTTTAGTTTCAAAGGTAGGCGCTCTTACCACTGAGCCACAGAGGGGGTTGAAAAAATTTAAAATGTTTGATAACGTCGGTCTAACAAACCGACTTTTTATAAAACAAAAAAAAAATAGAAATTTGTCTGTAGGTGACAAATATTTGTAATAATATAATTATGTACCTTATTCTCTATACACATATTAAGGAAATTTATAATTTTTTTTTGTTATTTTAATTATTTTAAGGGGGTATTAAAAAAGTGTCATTTTCACTAAAGCATAAAACAGTTACTTCAATGCTAATAAACCCAAAAAATAAAACTTTACTCTCGAAATTCGTACAGATTACTGGAACTATTCCAAATTTTGAGCATCATGATTTTCAAAAGAATTGCTAGATGATGTTCAAGATGTTGAAGACACAATTTTTTTTACAGTTTTTGCAAGAATATCTTGTTCTTTTTCTAGACTTTTTTTGTTGACTTTTTTTAATGCTGCTAAGCATATCGTCAAAATTTTGATTCTGGGTAGCAACATTCTCAGTTTATTTTTAATATACTTCAGAAAGAAGCAGACAAATTATCCTGGGAATGTTTTGCTGTTAAGCTACGAATACGTGGGTCAAGTAATTGAAATCTTAAATTTTCTTAACATTTCTTCTGTCGATTTTTGTTTGGATATTCGACGTGTAAATGATGTAACTATATATTTCAGCAACGTTCATGACACTATAAAAAAAAACCATTGACCAACGACGAGTTGCACGAGCGCAAATGTAGGCGTCGCACATTTTGTCAACAACATCGACACCTTCTTTCGTTTTGTTGTAGTCCATGAAATACATGTTGTATTTCCGGTTTGCCAGTTTTCTTAAAACAGCATTACGGTATTGCATAGTTTATACTAACAGGACATTTCTTTTTCGTTTTGAAAAATACAAAACAAAGCGTACACTTGGATTTTCTGGTCTTGCTAATAACATTTTAGAAGGTATCTCACGTTTATTTTGACTTAATGTCCCAACTGTTGCCTCAGTATTTTCGTCATCGGTAAGCTAGTAAAAAAGATGGCAAGCGTTATTTCTATTTGATCCCAAGATAGATGAACAAAGACGAGGCACTAATGCCAAATTCCCTATTCAAACTTCCAAAGTCGCAATGTAAAACATTTTGGCATCCACTAATGCATATCTTTTTATTCCGTAGAGATTCAGTTTTTAGGTAGGTATATAAATTTTGAAAAGACACTTACCTGAAAATGCTTTTAGTTTTTTATCAATCGTGGCATATGCTGACATATTGTTGGGACAAATTGCATGCAAACTAATCATAAATTTCCCTAATTGGATTGGAGCTAATTTGTCGACTTGTATTCTTTCTTACTTAGTAGTTTTATTGTCGAAACGAATATGTTTCAACAAAAACTGAAATCGTATCCGGGACATAGTAAGTCTGAAAATATCCATAGCCATTCCGTCTATCCTAAATAAATCTTTAGCGTTTCTGCGGATATTTTGACTAGCATCAGAAATATATAAAAGTCCCAATAACGCTTTTATTTCTAATAAATCAGTTGGTCTAAAAGAATTATATTGCGAAATGTCATTGGCTTGTATTTCTATAAATTTGTTGGTATAACAATTTTTTCCAGTATGTTTGGGGAGAAAAAGCATTTACAAATTTTTGAAGATTTATTTTTATACTTTGTTTTTATATCTCCCTTAGGTTCAGGTAAATAGTTGTAATTTTCAGTGCGTGTTCGAACATTCCATGCTGATGCAGGATGTTTTCGCCATCTGCTAGTTCCATCTTTATAGATAAGACAGGGTATTTATGCTGCTTGTTCGACTAACATATTTCCTTGAATAATTAAGTTTGGTCCATTTTCAAACTCCCCTTTCAAGTCTATATCCTCAATAGTTTCTACTACAATAAGGTCGTCTATCAAACTCACTAACTCACACTATCATCATCTGGTATTGCCATATATATATATATATATATATATATATATATATATATATATATATATATATATATATATATATATATATATATATATATATAAATCAGTCTAACCTCAAAATGTAACGGCAACTATGACGTCGGTTTGTGGGACCGAATCGTATATTATTATAATACTCAAAATTCCCAGTAAACGATACACACTGACCACAGACTAAATAGACACAAGTCACGTTCGGAAGGTACTGTGAAGTGCAGATTGAAATAAAAATTAGCGGGGCTTAAATTGCGAAAATTTGAAAGTCGGGTGCGAGAGACATAACGTTATTAGCGGAAGGTTAAAGAAAAAATTTTTCTCATAAACTAATCATTTCATGCCGAATATAATATACATTTTTGAAATAAGTACAAACAGTAAAATAAAAACATAAAATAAAAAAAGGGTGAAGTAATTAAAAAAAAGTGTCATCCATATTGGGTATGGGAGTGTCTTTCCCAACAAGTTTAAATATGACATAATGTCTCCCCCTTTATATAGTATTTGACGAGTTTTTACATTTTTCCTAAAAATTAGAAGCTCAAAAAGTATTTAAGATGGATAATTTTATTTGAAAAGCACTGTATGTATTTTATTGTTCATATTAGTTATTTTCCCCTATACCACGTTCCTTGCCAATGGAAACTTTATTACTATGTTTTTTTGATATCCACAGAAGTTCCTTACCTTATATAAGATAAACAATTGACCTTGTCCCTGTCAAATTTGTAGCTATAATTGTAAATAAGTGTATTTACCAAATAATGTTGCCAATATATTTGTCAATTTAATCAAGGACGTTGTTAATAAAATTTAATTTTGTTTCAGTATTACACTCCAGCTAATCAGATTGCGGGGGGTAATGAGCAAGACCAGCCTCATACAAACACCCACACACAAGTCTGATCATGTAGGGAAAATTGGTAAATAATTTTATATATATGTAACTATGTCTTGTTACTAACGAAATCAAAACGTTTGTTTATCAAGTTAATATATCAAGTATGTAAGCTAAACTCAGTAGAGAGAAAAATAGATTTACTTAAAAAATATTATAATATAATACCTTTTGTGATTAATATAATATTTTATTTATGGAAATAACTATATCTCGAAATCAATTATTCAAATATTTTTAGGTATGTAGAAAATATTCTACATCCATTTATTTTTCTTCTTCCTCTCTTTTTGATACCCCATTTGATCCTAAGTAAAGTAGGCTGTGAAATTGAATATTTTATGAGCGTGTTTTAAAAATTTACTTTACACGTTTAACTGTACTGTATTTACTGTAAACGTTTATACAGGTTGTCCAGAAATTCTCTTGTCAAACGCCAAACAATTTAACCCAATTCACCTAGTCCGAAAATGCTTCCGAAGAGAGCTAGAGCTTTTATAATATGGCGCCTTATAACTAGTTATTTTAATAACTCCAGAAAGCTACGAATAACTGCTAAAATTACACTGGGGAACACATCTTTAGTAGAGTTAGATCTGATACTTGTTTTTTACTAATTTGTGTCCTCTGAATCTGAAAATAGCCTTGTCTTGAATCTTGTCTATCACGTCAACTTTTTAAACTACAGGTTATCCTTAAAAATCATGCAAATAAAAGAACATAAAATAAAACGTACCAAATCTACAGTTTACAAAACATTGAATGTAAGTAAAATCGAGTTCGTATAAATAAAATTGTTTATTTATTTTAGTGAAGAGTACTTACAAATTAAGACAAAGATTTTCTAAAATGTTCAGTTTGTGTACCTTCGCGCTTGATGCTTCAACAATAGTCAGCCATCATATCTATGTTCCATCTACCTTGATATCGTGCTTCCGTGATTTTCAAATCTTGATGGAAACGTTCTCCCTGCTCATCACTCACCGCATTAAGATTGTTCGGGAAATTAGCAAGGTGGCTATGTAAAAAATGCACTTTAATGCTCATATTGCACCATAGCTTTTGGAAGCCATCCAAGAGTTGCTAAACAATGTCAGCGTAATTCACGCAATCTTTTTAATTTCTGATATTGTTACCACGAAATGCTCATCTGTAAGAAGCTGACAAATCTCTGACCATCAAAACACCGGCCTTTATCTTTTCAAATGACAGGCTAGGAAATTTCGATACGAGATACTTAAAACAGGCTCCTTTAGTTGGCAAAACTTTAACAAATTGCTTCATGAGACCCAATTTTATATGCAGAGGTGGAAATATAATACACTTTCTGTCGACAAGTGGCTGATGTACAATGTTTGGATCACCAGGTCTCAGGTCCGGTCTAGGCTGCCAATTCGACTGCACCCAATGTTGCGCACGAGCTATGCTGTCCCACATACACAGAAAGCAGGGATACTTTGTGTATCCACGTTGTTGACCAAGTAAAAAGCAGACCATCTTAACGTCAACTCAAATGATCCATTGGTGCATGTGATATTGCAACAGATCAATGACTTTCTTTATGTTGGCATATTCTTGAATGGCCAATTGGAACTGAACCAACTACACTACCATTGTGGAGGAGAACACACTTCAAGCTCCGCTTTGAGGTATCTATAAACTGTCGCCAGTCAGTTGCGTTATAGTTTGAAATTCCCAAATCTTTCATCAAACCACTTACATAATAGCAAAACACAAATCCATCATCACTTTGAAAGTATTGCAGAAATGCCCTTTCTCGTATTCGAAAATAGGATACCTTGGCTGTCTTTTCAAGAAAGTTTTTCTCATTGTCGTGATGCTAAGAGCTCTAAGAGCTCTGAAGCTTTTGTGGATAGTCCCAAATCTCGTACTAAATCATTTAGCTCTTGCTGCTTGAATCCTTTACGTACGGAGTTATCTTATATTCGAAATCTTCATTGTTGGAGTCGCTTTCATCAACACCACATCCATATCCCCCTTCTTCCAAAGAGAAAAAATTATTGAAAACTGGCACGGGGATTTCGGCTGAATGCGGCACTGGGCGTATAGCTGACGGTAAACTAGTATACTCTATTTTACATTTGTTTTTTTTGGTATATCCTCATGTTTTCACTATACAAAAGTAACAACCACTTGAATGATCTTTGGGCCCGTACCAAATTATAGGTATACCAAATGGAAGTTTAGCACGTGTTCCCTTGTTCCACATCCGTAAACCCTCAACACACTGTTTACACACTTTATGAGGTGCACATGCTTTATCTTTATCACCAAGTCTCACTTTAAAATAGGCAAAATATGCTTGTCTGACGAATGTACTGATGTTTATCCTTTGATTGGAAATGGTAAAACTCCCACATAACAAAACTAATCGGGGCTGTTTTCGCACTTACGACGTGTAGGAGCAAAAATAGCCACAAGGAAACGTTTCAGTTCACACTAAGTAGGTCACTTAAGTAACTTCACTAAGTAGTTCTACACACTTAAGTAACCAAATACTAAATGCTGCTAACAAATACACAACGTTTGACCACAGTATAACAGACGTAACTGAAGTGAACACGTGAAAAGTCAAGTCTAGACCAGTTGAAGTTATCAGCGCATTATTCCCCCACCAACATGCGCCCCACCTACGGGACCTACCTACCCCACAAACAAACGTGACATAATAGAAGAAAAATAAAACAGTTTGGAAATCAGTACGCCTATTTCTATAGAAAACAGCTCAAAAATCTAACTCAACAGAAATTGAGTTTCAGATTGTTCCCCAGTATTATTAATTATTATTATATATTATATGTTATCCAGTTTCCGGATCCAAACTCTCTTCTTTTAAAGCGTTCTTTAGTCGTTGGACTAAACCATTCTTTTTCCGGTAGGAGCTAATTCTCTGTCCTCATGATGTTTTCTTAAATCCGTAACTGTGAGCTAAAAATCTTAGCCATTTTCACAATTTAAGATATTCACTTCTAAACACCAATGTTAAGTCTTTATTAATTCTAATTTATTGTTTTTATTATTTATTAAAGGTTCTATATTTATTACACTTGCAACTTAATTTAAAATTTATGTATACTAATTTATCTTACAATAATAACTACATAAATTATTTTAATACGAGCGTTACATTTAAAACGCGGTGGTGTATATATTTTTCTTACTAACTATTTTCTACAAAAAAGTTTCTATTTATATATCATGCCGTTATTCGAGAAGGTCGGCTTCCGGAACTCTCGAATAATATAGAAGAAAAATCCCACAGACAGAGCGGCGAATGATCTCGAACTGGTTTTTAATACTGGCCTGTTTCCAGAAGGTTTGATTGTTGTTTTTATATCGGAGGGGGACCCATCGTGTGTCAGGTAGGTATTACCTGGAATTTCTACCATCGGGTCAAATTTAGAACATATAAGAATTAAAATATTTACGAGACATATTTATCGTAACAATATTGTCATATGGAAAAAGAATAACATTAATTTAATTTAAAAAACATGCATATACGTCATAAGCAGCGTATTTTATTTAAAAAATAAAAGAACGACATAAAATTTTTGTTCAAAAATTAATTACCATTAATTTAATTAAACATATTTGCAGCCGCTTTTTGACTGACAACCTATTATCAATGTTTTCTACTATTCTTAAATTTATGCAAATGTGATTTTAATTAACTGTGTTATGATTGCAGTGAGATATTAGCTTACTTAAATTATATTTTGTAGCTTGATATAACAAACGTGAGAACACTCTCAATCAAACGGTGTACGTACAGTCGATTCGATTATAAAAATATATTATTTAAATGTATAAATATTACTTTTGTGAATTACGTAAAAATGTAGGAAAATATTTATAGATATAAGTCCTTTATACGTTAATGTTTGAAAATAAGCTAAGATCAGCAAATACATAGAGTTTAAAAAATTGTCATAATTTAAATATATATATATATATATATATATATATATATATATATATATATATATAGGGTAATTGTTTGGGAGTTCGAAATATTTGGAAATTTGGAAAAATGACTTAATTAATATCTGAAAATTTAGGATGATTAAATATGCGCAATTAATGTTAAACATTTAAAACCTCTTACCACTTGCAGTTATATTGGAAGTTGACTAGAACTGAATTAATTTAAATAGTGTATTTATATGGGATTCAGCCATATTGACTATAATACAAATTTGATTTTGACGTTTCGATTTCTAATCCGGAAATCGCCTTAAAAAAATTATTGTATATAGAAGTTATTTAGTACAATAATTAAATTAATTTCAGAATTAATATACATTTAAAGTTATGTCCAATAATGCCATAACATATATTGTAATTTATTTTAAAAAGTTGATTTATTTTTAAGTAACCGTTTTAAATCACCTTGTGAATATTACATATTTATTTTCATATTTACATATTTATTCACAAAATAATAAATATTTATTTAAATAGATGATACTAAAAGAATATACCAGAAAAATATTTGCCATTTTATTATTGATATAGTTATATGGTGTCAAATCCGATACTGTTTCATAATCAAATTTGTCATATCCAAGAAACAGAGTTTTCAGATATTAATTATGTCACGTTTCTCTAAAATTATATTCTTAAAGTCTAATTACAGTTCCCAAAGAATCACCCTGTACACGAGATTTTAACTCATGTGTAACTGTGATATAATTTGCTTTTTATCGCCACAAAATTGTATGGTGTGGTTCGTTATATTAAGATTATTAGATATTAAAATTTAAACATTTAAAGTGTCGAAAGAGTTTATTTGTTATAAAAACCCTGTCTTTAAGTGTTTAATATTGGAGAAAGTTTTTAAATGAATATTGACAGCAACTCTAAATAATTAAATAAATTTTCTGATCGTCATTGTGCACCATCTAAAAATTGATTTGATGTGCCTGCTGTTTATAATTTCATACGGAAAATACTACTTTATGTAAGATAAAACTTGTGTAACTGTTAAACGTTTTAAGTGTTAACGCGATTCTTACTTTTCTTAAAGAGAAATCTTTACTTTTAGTACTACGACATAGCTTTGTTATGAAAATATTCTGTTAGTTTGTCATTATTC